CCTGTGTGGTCCAAAAAACTTTCGCACAGACTGCCAATGTTTAGTATAATCCTGAAAATAATTGTATAGTATTTCAATATTTCTACCTGATAATGGAGTAATCTCCAGGATTGTGCATCATTTCTGCTGCTGACTGCATCTCCTGCATAAATCCATTATCATTGTAGTCCATTCGATTATCACCTGTAAAATCAAAAACATCCCCATTACACATTGTACTTCCATAAGAAAAGACTACACAAGAGGCATGCTTCTAGTCATTTTTCTTATTTTTAAAGCTTTAGTGAAAACTTCTATAATCAGCTGTAGAGGTGTAATGATACAGCAATACATCGATCGTATTGATCGCAAGGGCTCATGATACGTGTATTTCATTATTTTGTTTGAAACTTCTACATACAACCTAACAAATTTTAATGTTTTAAAATGGCTGAAAAAAAAGGTAGCAAACAAAAAATACAATGTCAAGACTATAAATCCACCTTTTATTAACTTTGATCAGTGGTATCAAGATATTCTTTTTATGTTTTCTATAACTGTGGAGGTTAGCAAGGAATAATATGTTAAGATAACGGTTAATTCAATTGTTGACAGCTGTATCATGATACATGTTGTATTGCATGACAGTATTGTGATATGTATCATATCGTTAGGTAGCTTGCGATACTCAGGCCTAATCAGCTGGTTACATATAATACACAATCTTACCCAGACCTGATGCTGCAGAAAACTTGAGCATATTCTGTAACTGATACCGGACCTCTTCCATTCCCTTCACATCTACATTGTCCTGCAAGAGAACACATTAAAGGTAATTTGACCCCTTTTTATTTCCTACAACATAATTTTGCAAAGCAATTCTGAGAGAAATAGCAACACTGACCTTTACCTGTCTATGAATGGTCTCCTCTCCCTCAGAGTGATAATGCTGTACCTGAGTCACTACATTGGCAGCTGGATGGACAGGAGAATGCTCATTGACCTTGACAGCACCTTGATATGACCTTGACTGTTTCTCCTCCATACTTTCCATAGTCTTTCTTGTTTGATCGGTCTTGACCTGTCTCTCACTCTGACCGGCAGCCATGTTTCTTCTTGCCATGATTCGACTCTCTGCATGAGAAGGAATTGGTCCAGAAATTTTCTTTTCACCTACACCCTGCCTGGAACTTTCTGGTCTTTGAGTGCTTATTTTGGAACTGTCTGCTGCTGACTTTGTAGCATCAGAACCTTTTGTTTTCGGTCTTGGTAGATGGGAATCTTTGCTCTGTAGAAATGCATTGTAGGACTCACTTCGCACAGAGGACACAAAGGGACGCCTCTCATTCAACGGTTTCTGTGGGTGTTTTGACGTTTTGTCATGAGTTTGCTGTGAACTCTCAGACACTGGAATATCCCATGATGCATTGCTATGAATATGTACATGAGTCACTTTGGGTTCCTGAGTGTGTACTTGTTCTTTACTAACATGTGCCCTCTGGATTTCTGGTTGGTGTTGCATTGAAATATTTTGAGCAGCATTTGGCGGGGTTCCAATACTTTCTCTGTGTTGATCCACAGCAGGCATGGATACAAATACCTCCCTTCTCTCCACATTAGGTCTATTCTTAGGAGACACAGGGGAGACAATTTGTTGATTTCTAGTAACATTTACCTCCCCTGGAGACATCATATACTTTGTTTTTTGCAATGCCCCAGGACTGAATTTACCCATTTCATTAGGTGATGTTTTTGCGAGTGAAGGTTCATGAAATCTCTGTTCCTCATTTTGAAATTTATTACTTGTAACGATATGGCGCTCAAATTCAAACCTGGAGATATTTTCTGTCGAGTCACAGTTCTCCATTTTACGTAGGGGAGAAAATAGCACACGACTGTCCAGTTCCTCGTCACTTTCACTGCTCTGGCGAGGAGATTGGTTCATTTCAAAAAATCCTGCAGCAGGCGAGTCATTCCGCGAGTTGTTATTATCCATGTCTTGAGATCCATACACTTCCTCTCGCTCGGCGGCCATATAGGAAGCCTGTGATAAACTCTTCTGGGGTGTTGAAACTGACCTGTTTCTGCTTAGGTCTTCATTTCTCTCTGTGTCATCCAGAGCTGAGAAATCTAGTTGACCAACAGGTCTGAAGATTACCGATTCCTCATCTGTTGTCCGCTGAGGAAGAAAGCCACTGCTGGTGTTAAATGCAGGACTTCCCTCAGGGCCTGATCTTCGATACACTAAACTTGACCTTGTCTGATTTTCTTCTATACCAATTCTTGTGAAATCAAAGTCCCCACCAGTAGGTGCAATAGATTCCTGTACCATAAATGGGCCTGTCTGCATTAGGCTTGTGGGAACGTTAGATTGTGCACTGTCAATGTTGTAATCTGCCATTCTGGCTGTGTTTCTGTTAATCACAGTAGGAATTCCTTCATTCACTTCATACTCTTCCAGGCTGTCCTGCATGTCTTCCATGAGTTTAAGATTTATCTGATCGTTTGGGACAACTTACCTAAAAAAAAAAAGTATGAATCAAATAATTAACACTGGCATGTTCAAATATTGGACAGGAATCCATATGTCCAAATATGCATTAAATGATGCATTACATTACGTGAAATATTAACCATCGAAAAAATAGATCGTAAATATGATAGTTGAAGACGAGGCACAAAACTGTGTAAATCAAATAATTTACTTCCAATTACAAACATTCATAATGATAAATAGCACTAAAATAGCATTAGAAAGCTAATCATCCATCTTCTTACATTTTTTTCTAACTGTGAATTGAAATCTACATCCATAATAAAATGCAGTTTTATTTATGTTACGGGTAAATTGATTTTGCTTAAACAGCTTTTCGGGGTAAACTTCAAACTTTATTCAGTTTATTGTCTGACGTCATGGCGTCAGACAGTACTAGATTTAGCCACGGCTTGTTGGTCAAGTCGTTCAATAAAATTATTGTGATAACTCAATCTTCGAAACTTCATTCTATCTTAACCATGGGGATTAATGAAAACATGCTAAATACCCAAACAAGCCAAAGCATTGCGCCTAATTATTATCACATTATACATTACACGTTACATATCATTTGGTAATTCTTTATTCATCTACATCCAGCAAAGCTATTCAGGTCAAAACTATCAGATTAACTAATAGATGTTTATTTTAAATGCATACAGTCTTTCTACCTTTAGAATTACACATATTCCTTACTTTGCAGACGTTTGATTTAGTCATAGTTAAAAACTTCAAGAGAAAGATGATGGTAGATGATTAACTTTTTTAGGTGTATATAGAAAGATGTACTTAGCTCATTTATAACAAGTTTATTACAATGTATTTTAAAAAAGAAATCATAATTCTCCCAACTGTTCACCAAATAATGTTAAGATTGTAATAGTGATGTAACTTTTTCTTTTAAAAGCACTGGTTTCATCTAGTATCTAGAAAAAGCCAATCAGAAGAAATGTCACGGGGAAGGGGTGCACAACCAAAAATTTCGGGGGGAGGGGGGATGTGCACTATCAAGGAAATTCTTTTTATCAAGGAATTTTTCTTTATCAATCAAAAAAGTAAATATAAATATGTTATTGTTTACATGACCTTTGGGACACAAGCATAAATTAAGTAGCTATGTTTTCTATTGCATATAATTATATATCGGCAAAATATGGGGGGTCCCTCTTCTTCATGGTTCCTACGGCAATGAAAAAAAAAGAAATTACAAGTAATACAGTATAAGTCTATTTATAAATAAATTCATATATCCGAGTTTTATTTCATGTTGATACAACTGGATTGAACTTTTCTTGATTATTAGCAGAATAATTTATTTCTGGACTCAGAATTACACTGAATTCAACTTTTCTTAGATCTTCATATAATAATAAATTTTGCTCACGTCAGACAAGCTTTTTAAGAAAGCTAATACTTGTCATGTTTATCATTAGGACATTTGAAAATTTCAAGATATTTAGGATGAAGATTTCAGAGCTGAGACTCAACGTCCAAGATCTCATTAAAGAAGAATTAAAGATTTATTACACAATTACACGAATCTCCAATGTGTAGTGCATTAGGGCAAACTGAGACGAAAAATAAAATATTTTAAGTTGTATTCAATATGGTACGTCACATTAATCCTTTGGCAAAGACCTTCATAAATATGGCTGACATGTAAAAATGAGCATATTGACACACGTTGGAGGTATTGATGAAGTTGTGTATAAAGAAAAAAGTGCTTACTGATTTCACATAAAATATGACACATACAATAGATATGTGTAATATTGTTTTTTATTTTTGATAAATTTCTTGAACTTGACTGCTATAATTTCTCGGCATTTGATTGTAGATTTTCAGCATGTAAAAATGACTTCACAATCACATTTGTTTACAAACAACGCAGAGTTTTCCGAAAGTGACGGAGTGAGGGTTAGGGGGTTTGGCGACACATGTCCTACCAAAGCCAGGTTTATATACTTACATGAATAAATTGTATGTCAAACTAAAGGGTTTGAAAGGTGATTTCCTGATGATGTGAAGATACACAACAAACACATGTCATTTATACAATACCTCCACTAATGGCACTATCACTAACATCATGATGTTTAGTAAACAACAGAGAAATTTCGGAAAGCAATTAAATATCTGTCAGTGACGAGTGTAAGCACACAATTTAAAGCCTGTGCAATATTATGTAGCATTTTATTATAGTCATTTATGTTAATCATTTAATGAAATCGTCATATGGATAACATAAATAATCCAGTTTACCTGTGCATGATTCGCTAAAACATGTTTTGAAAATTATTCCTTAAAATTCATCCGCATAACATTTTGACTTCCGGTTTGAAATCGATCTTTTTTTCAATAATATTCAATAATTTGGAAAAATTTTGAACTTTTGGTATATATCATTTTAAATATGAATTGAATATTTGCTTATTGATCCAATCTGAAAATAAATCTGTAAACTATTTTTCATCGCGCTAGAAAAGAAATAAGTTGTTGCTGGGCACTTCCGTTTATTAAAATGACAGTGTACACCCTATACATATTTGACAGAAATGGAACATGTTTGTACTATACTGAGTGGAATAGGAAAAAGCAGTCGGGCATGAGCAAAGATGAGGTATTGAAATTTCTTTCAAATTGACGATAATTAATTTGCTTTGTGAATTATGAAAGACTGAATGTCCACTGGACTTAAAAGTTCATTTTGTACTGTAGATAGGCCTATATATGAGGATAATTTCAATTTTATTGTGTACGTCTGTATAACTATAAGTCATGGGGTTTGCGCTCCTCCACATGTCAGCCCCACCGCAGGGCTCGAAATAATTGATGGTCTGGGACAATTGGATTTGGGGAAGACTAAAGAGCTAGCATATGCATAATGCTCTCTGGGACCACTGATTATTTTATCAACACCAAAACTGATTCACAAGTCAGTTAGCTATTTAGACATGTTTGTGCATCCAATTAGTTCTAGTTGTTGAATATGTTTACAACCTAAAAATTAATAAATGTTACCAATATTCTTTTCATTGGAATGTTTTCTTTAATAATTAAAGCCGCAACATCATGTTGCAATAAATATGAAAAGTAGAGATGATTATTAGAATGGAAAATTTAACGAAGATATCTGTTTAAACATACTTGTATTTTAAAGCCATTGGCAAAGTAAAGAATTTAGGGCTACACAGAGTCTGAAAGTGGTGCACTACAAGAGGTGACCAATTAATTAAAATTAAGAAATTAAAGTACTAGTTCAATTTTTTTTTCAACTGCTAGTTATTGAACTCAGCAAATAAAGGCAAAAGTTTGAAAATTTAAAAAAAGTACTAGTTCAATTTTTTATCAACTGTTAGTTATTAAATTCAGCAAATAAAGGCAAAAGTTTGACAATTTAAAAAAGATGATAATCAATGTCTGCCATAAATTGTTTACACTGTTTATGTATGTAGTATATCATGTATATATTGTAGGTCTGCAGTCAATTAAATTCCCAAATATGTTTAGTTTACCCAGGTTCGTTCCAAAATACTTCATATATTCTGTTTGACCAACATGACCAAGGTTAACTCTCCCAAAATAAAAAGGAATCATACAACAACACTATTCATGTGTTGCAATAGCATTGCAACTGCAGCAAGACGGGAAATTCATGCAATACCTGTTTCACTTAAATTCAGGCTGATTCCCTTTTAGTGTCATTGTAATACAACATGGGTCCTGGCAACCACCTCAAATGGTTGCTAGTTTGGACATACTTTGCAAAGAATTCTGAATCTATCATATCCTGCATAATTATTTGAGATTATATTTGTAGGACTCCAGAGTGCGATGGGACTCCAAAGTCCGATGGTCACGCCAAAGTCCGATGGTTTGACACGCCAAAGTCCGATGGTGCGGAAAAACAATTGATGTTTGTGACGTCATAGTACTACTGCGCCAAACTGCAATGCCGCACCATGCCAAGCTCTTAAATAAGTTTAAATAGATATCATTATGCGAAAACTAACCCTAATCTCTTGGATGGGTGCAAAACTAACCCTAATCGCTCGAAAAGTGTGTAACAACTATAACCTAAATATCTTGGGTGGTTGTGTGACTAACCCTATTCACTCGACTAGTGTGCGAGGACAAACCCTAAATCTCTCAGGTTGGTGTGAAGCAAGGACTAACCCTTATCAGTTGAGTGGTGTGCGAGGACTAACCCTAATATCCCTGGTGGGTGCGAGCAATAAGCAAGATCAGTAAAATTGTATGCGAGGATGAATACTGAGCTGATGGCTTTTGAATGCAGGACAATGGCGTCAAGGATTGACGTTGGAATAAACGTTGATTGTTTCTCCGCACCATCGGACTTTGGCATGTCAGACCATCCCACTTTAGCACAGCGCGTCTCATAGGAAATGAGCCATGGGACTTAAGCGTAACCATCGGACTTTGGCGTCCGTACCGACATCAAACCATCGGGGTTTGGCGCAGACCATCGGGGTTTGGTGAGACCATCGGACTTTGGCGTCACCATCGGACTTTGGAGTCTTACATATTTACATGAACATAATGGATTACTTATAATTTTCTGAATTTGTCTTTTGAAATCACTAAATGAGAAAAGAAATTACAAAGTTATTATAACATGTATCATTACATATTGAATCAAAATTTCTCCTGTCAAGTATATATTCAAAAATTGTTTCATCCTTTATAGTATCCAACCATGGATGCATGGATGGCATACAAATGAAGTTATAATTATATTTTCAGAATTAAAAGTTTATTACCTATATTTTCATTTGCAGGAGTTCAAGTTGATGTATGGCATGATACATTCCATTAAGTCTTTTGTGCAGAGAATTTCACCAACAGATTTGTATCCTTGATTAAAATAATAACTCAGTTAAATCAGAAAAAATATATTCACATATGTACTGTAGATCACTTAATTTTCATGACACCTTATTTGTGAGACTGTTGTTTGGTATTTATCATTGAAACAAATTTTTCACAAATTTTGGTTATTGATTTATATAATCTTTAATAATAGAATCATATATGGGAGAATGAAATTCATATGGGAGAATGAAAAAACGACAGTTTTGAGTATAATTATGCAAAAATAAAGTTCTCACAAACAAAAAGTGGTTTACAGTACTGTAAATATGGAAACATGGACAATGTGGTAATATTGAGAAAAATGATCATCTAAATTTCCACTTATCGACTTTATGTTTTTTGTTAAAGAGGAATGTTAAGAACTAATAGACTATCAAAGTTTCTACATATGTACTTGCCAAAGTTCTACAATAAGGAAATTGTCAAACTTCAAACCTTCATTGTACGTACAGCACTGTTATAGTACTCTAACACTTAATTTGAAAGTCTTACATTCTGACATTTTGTGTTTGTTTTACCTTAATTTTACAACAGAAAAGAAGGATTTTCAAGCTTTAGAACTAGCAGATACAAATTGAATTTTTATGAAACACCAAGTGGTATGAAGTTTATCATGACTACTGATTTAACAGTGGGAAACATCAAGGATGTTTTACATCAAATCTACAGCAATGTAAGTTATTTACTATTGCAACCTAAATAATAATGTTGATGAGAAAGATGAATTGAGTTGTTTTCAAAAATCAAAATTTTATAAGTTTGTTCTGCTATTTCATACACTGGAGTATTTTTACAAGCAAAAAGTTATGCAAACAGCATTATATCTTTAATTTCAGACACTGTTTATTTTTACAGGCAAAAAGTTGTGTGAACAACAATATTTTTATTTACTTTCTACTGAGATTTATTTTCTTACCATTAAGAGAAACCTAACTTTGTGTGGTTTTTATCCATCCTTTAAGGAGTGGTTTGACATGTTTTGCAAAATCAGACTTCGATGGTTTTAGAAAGTCACAGAATCATGGAACTTCATGCTTTGTGTCATTCCATGCTATTATGGTGTTCTATAGATCTATTATAGTTTAAAAATGCAGCATTTTTTTTTAATAAATATTTGAAATTACCATAATTCATTTTTTGATGATACAAATATACATGTATAGAAGGTTTTCACTTTTTATAGGACAAATTTTGGTGATAATTACAAAGTTGTCTTTGTCTGTCCTGTTATGCAATTTTGAGAATGGAAAGTCATTTTTAATGGTGAACGCATTTGTAAATTTTCCAGCATGTACTCTATATACTGTACTGGAATCTATTGTTTAAGTGACACAAGAATATATAACAATGTCACTTTCTTGCAAGATATGAAGGAATTTAAAGAAATCAAGACCCAAATAGAAATTTTTCATTTTGAATTAAGCTGTGGCATTTATCAAAGGACATAACAAACATTTTCTTTTAAATTTCAGATATATGTCGAATATGTGATACGGAATCCACAGTGTGAATTAGGACAACCCATCACAAGTGAATTGTTCCAAAACAAACTGGATGAATATGTCAGAGGACTATCAATCTTCCCTACAAGGATATCATAACACACTTTTTATAATTTACTATTAGTGTAGCATATGAGACACAAGTAAAATATCTTTGAAAAAGTTTCATGTTTAGTAATCTTTGAAAAGTTAGAGTTTCTTCTCTGAAGAAGCTTGCTTTGATGTTTCAACAAACTACATGCACATGGTGTAATATTTAATTTAACATACAAGTTTTAAAGTGTAATATGATTGTCTATGGTTTACTGATGTTATTAAATGAGATATAAATCATAGATGAAGTTTCATGTCAATAAAATCAGTCACCAACTAAATCTCTGTTCATATATATATCATAAAAGTTATGGTGATGATAAAGACTGTGTTCATGGTGTATGTCTCTCTGTAAAAGTTTTCTCCAGCATGTTACCCCTCCTACAGATTTTGTCTGATTTCAACAAATATTGATAATTAAGCAAACTTCATCAAATAAAATGATGTAATACATGTATCTGTAAAGTATTTGTCAGTGTTGCCGTAGAGAGATTACATGTAGCAGTGGTCTCCTAATTTAAATCATATCAGAAATAATGTATCTTATATTATTGAATAATATTTTTATGAATCAATTTCCTATCAAATTCATTGATTCATATAACAATTACTGCTGTTTTTTTCATTAATTTGGGCTTTGTGAATACATATTGTATTCCTTGAGTGGGCTAAGTCATCGTATTGACTAAAAAAAAAAACAATAATTGTAAAAGTTCTCCCAGTCGATTTAATACACAACAGCATGTTCTGTGTAGGAACAATTTACAATTTAGGCTACTGACAGGTAAGTTGATGATACAAGGATATAAGCAATCAAAGTCCAGTGAGCATTTCACAATTTTTATGGTCGAAACAATGACCTTCTTTGCAAATACAGTCTATTGTTAGGTCGAATGATGACTGATGTCTTTCATACAAATTGTTAGGCCATTATCTCCACACTGAAATGTCTGTGGATATTTCCATTAACCTCGATCATGACAAGGGGCACAAGACGGGTGTGACTGTTCAGTAGGGGGTGCTCACTCCTCCATTGCACCTGATCCTGCCTTTGTTTTCAGAGGTCTGTGTTTGCTCTGCTCACAATTTGTATTGTTTAACTGGGTGGACTTTGAGCATGATTAATGTTGGTTATCTTTACATTTCACCACACAGGCTCATACAGAATATTTTCTTAGTCAGAATGCTAGATTTGATTCATCTTTAGAATCTTTCTTTATCATTTTGAAAATTTTCACAAATTTTGGCTGAGGAGGCCATGTAAAATAGTTTTTGCCAAAATTTCTATTTTTAGGTCAAGAATGCAAAATTACCTGTTTTATCAAATCAATGACATGGAAAGAGAAAGGGAGTTTAAAAAGAAACTAAATTCTTCAACAATATTGAACAGATTGCTAAATAAATAAATCCCATTTCATATATTGTTTTTTGAAAGAAACATATTTATTTTGAAATTAAAGGATGAGTGCACTTAAGCTATGAGAGCTGGGTCCCAGTGTTTTGCGCAAAATAAAATTCCAAAGTTCATAAACTTTATGTTTTATGGGTGTTAAACAATGTCTTAAGAGCAGGTTTTGGTATATTATATTACATGAAAGTATTAAATAATGCCGAGCGACACTAGCTTTTGAGACGGGGGTCTAACAGTTTTGTCACATTTCTATTGTTATTCATATGCATACCAGTTTTCAACGACATTGTCTACATCGAGCCGCAACTTGTCCATTGGTCTCATTTGCACAGAATGTGTATTTTGATTTAAACTTCAACATATCCAAAGGACAATGTTGGACAAATTGCGGCTCATATCTAATTTTTTGAAAAACGTCTCCAAACTACGGTCGAATTAGCCACTAAATTAACAGTTCACCGAGTGTCAACGATTGATATTATAATCACTTTACTCACGTGACATTCCACTGTACGATACGCTAAGGCTTTCATTGAGCATTTCATTGTGTTTGTTATTGAAAGTTTCTATTGTGACAGTATCTATCGTACTTCCAACTTCAAACTATGGAAAGATTTTTGCGCAAATTTTAATAGGGTTTGAAGATTATATGTCTCTTATTTTACTTTGTATTTTTCATTACGGGTGTTTTGAAAGAATTCTGGTATTGACAGTGTGATTAGTAAGTACATGTACAGGCTCATGTCGCCTCTGTATAATGGTCTGCAGGGCGAGACATCTTCCCCATCCCTAAACACTAGAATCATTTATTATTTGTGCACCATAAAACTACACAATCTCTCTCTTCTCCATTTAAATTCGCAGTGCGAAAAAAAAAGATATATGTGCTAATGTTTACATTCCACATCCATGCGATTTAAATGTCTCCGCCTATTTGCGGATACTTTAAATTCGTAAGTGGTCCCGTTCAAATTTCCGGAATTTAAGGTTTGTATATGTTCTTTTCAATGACATTCTCTGTAATTATAGAAATATGTATGACAACAAATTCAAGGAATAAATATCAAAAGAATATGCTTGCACAATAATCATAGATTAATTAAGCGATATATTGTAATGTAAAGCTTAAAATGGGTAGCCGAAAAGGTTCCAAATGACGTACTAAAGTGCACTCATTCTTTTATTGTTAAACCATAAAGCATGTAAATTTTTAAGATATGTCAAAAGTAAATGTTGCCAAGTCCTTTCCCTTTCATGAACAATCAGGGAAGTATTAACTTATACATTTAATGGCATTCTTAGTAGACCCAAATTTGTACCTGCAAAAAAAACAAAAAACAAAAAAAACCCAACTGTACTGTATGTGATGTATATCATGCTCAACAAGATGTGTTTGTAAAACACTGATGCCCCTGTATGGCAGCTCATGGCAAGATTAAAGTTTCTCAAATGCAAGTGAAACTCCCAAGGTTAAGGTAAACAAATCAACATTGTTGGGGTAATGGAAGGCATCATGTCACAAGGAAGACACAAGTGAATATGAAAGCCCTAGAGCCAGCTGTTCAAAAGTTATTGCCAAGATTAAAGTTTTTCAAAAGTAGGTCAAACTCCAAGGTCAAGGTCAAATTTTTTTAATTGTTGGTACCCAAGGGAAGGTCTTATCACAGAAATAAACATGAAAAATATGAAAGCCCTAGTATCAACTGTTCAAAAATTAGGAAAAGGTTGAATTTTTTCAAAAGTAGGTAAAATTCAAAGGTCAAGGTCAAATGGTCAAAATTGTTGATACCCTAGGAAAGGTCTTTTCACAATAAATACACATGTGAAAAATGAAAGCCCTAGTACCAACAGTTCAAAAGTTATGGCCAAGGATAAAGTGTTTGTAAAGTTGGGTGAAAATCCAAGGTCAAGAGGTCAAATATATTTGAATTCAAGGAAAGGTCTTGTGACAAGGAAAATACATGTGAAGTATGAAAGCCATAGCACCAACCATTCAAAAGTTATGGCTAAGATTAAAGTGTGGTAAAATTTTGCATAAGTGGGTCTAACTTACGGGGGCATAAAAATCTGAAGATAAGGAACAATGTATAGTTTCAACGAGATCGGATGGAGTTATTCTTGATGTAATTGATATGTATAAGTAGAATTGCATGACCGAGTTGATCTTAAGGCCATTCCAACTTTTTTCTTTGTTTAGCGTCCACCCTAAATTCGAAAACCTATCTTTTTATCCGGAAAAAACACACAAACCAAAGGGGAAAAAACACAACAATTTAATCACAATTCTAGAATTTCTTATCGTCATTTGAGAATTCTCCTCGTATGGTAACTAAGCTCAGCTACTACTTAATTGAAACTAAACATTTTTGGTACACATTTTAATAAAAAAGATAGTTGCTGATCCCAAAAGAGTAAATTGCGTTTCAAAGATCTATATTTGTCGATTTTAATTTGTGTTTGTTTTCACTTCTATAACCTCAAAACCAATCCGTCCGAGGACGCTAAACATAGAAAAAACTTGGAATGGCCTAACTACTTTGCTCATTGTTATTTAACATAGCAATTTATAACAATTTATATGCAGCTACCCATTTGCAATTGAAAAAATAACATCAAATATTAAAATTAGATGCTGTCATAAGACAATGAATACCTGCATACATTGCAAGTGTTTGCCTCTATATGTACGCTAGCTCCCTTTTACCTGGGTTGTGAAGAAGCCTCAAAAGTTATTCTGTAATTTACATAAAATATGTATACATGTACATGTACCAAATTAAGCATGAAGTACACAGGTAAGTATATAACCATGGGCCTCTTATGTTAGTATTTCAAATAAAGAAATCTTTAGCAGTCAGAAATTAAAGGTTGTGATGAAGTAAATTCTAATTTTTAAAAGAGGGGGTTTCAGAAAAAAAATGTTTTCTGTAAAGAAAAAAATGACCCAAATCGGAACTTGAAAACGTCGATTTTTGACCCCAATTTGGCCTCAGGGTCTTGCAATTTATGCTACAACATAGTCGCCAGCCTGGCTACTGTAGCAAGCCTGGAACCTTGAAGTTCTAATCAGAACTGAGTGTATTGCCCTAGGTATCGGCAAAGTTCACTTACAACTAGCCTTCAATTACATCTAAGAACTGACAAAGTCAGAGGAAAATTATCCTGTCTACTAGTCACATTTTCAGAGGTTGTATATATATATAGAGTGTATGTAATAATCTGGACAAAGAATGACCAGAACAAACCAGAATATTTGGAGGGAAGTTGGGTCCATTAAAACACCAGATCACAAAACTAAAACCCAACAGAAATAGAGACATATGGCTAGGACCTTAATTATGACCCTACAGACAACAATCAGGGTAGTACTGTATGTTATACCAGAGTGATTTTGATTTGCACCACTTTTTGAATACTCTGTTGCACAATATACATGTACGTCGAAGTTTTCCTTCAAAGCAGTTAATATTTTTCTGAGGAGTTAAGATACGGTTGAACATTTACCCAATCTGATTAAAATACAGATCTCTTCATAGCGCTTTGCGCTATGAAGAGATCTGTATTTTAATCAGATTGAACATTTACCTGACCCTCAATGTATTTTAATTTCTTTGTAAGGATTTTTATGAACTTTTGGGATTCGGTAAATCAAATTCACTTCCTTTGACTCAGAATGATGAAAGTATTGAAAACTGAAACTTGATTTTGAAGAACTTCGTCTTTTAGAACGGAACTTCGAATATAAGTTGGATTACTAATGAAATATGGAGTTAACGAACAGTATTCGAGCTCAAAGTCCAATTAAACAATACAAATCAGGAGCAGAGAAAACACGGACCTCCAAAAACATCAGAGTGCAATGGAGGAGTGAGCATCCCCTGCCGACCGGTCACACCCGCCGTGTGCTCCTTGTCATGTAGAAATTTTTGAATAACTTCTGCTTCATATCAATACAAAAATAAGTCTGCTAATAAGGGGGCGCAATTGGTACCCATGGAAATTCCAATACTTTGTTGGAAGACCTGGTCTCCAAAGATATTGTCAATCAGAAACTCAAGCATCTTTTTAATATCAACTTCAGAGTACTTGTGTGTACAATCAGAATGTTTTTAACAAAATAATTTTGCAAATGATCAATGACAAGGTAAGTAAATTTACGAGTTCCATTTTTATTGAAAAAGCAGATGTCTGTGATGTCAAAAAGCCTGGACTTTAATTTATCGTTGGGAATGGTTGTATAAAGTGTTGAAAAGTCGTACGTTTTGATGTTATTGATTTGTTAAAATTTTGTGAAATCAAATTTTCTAAAAGTTCTTTAATTTGGGTTTTTTAAAGTATCCACGTCTGATTTACACCACTTATCGAATATACTGTTGTACAGTACTCCTGAAGTTTCTCCTTCACTACTGTAAATATGTTAGTGAGGAGTAAAGAAAGAGGCATGGTAGAACATTTAATTACTGGAACCCGCTATGTATCTATATTTGTAAGGCTTTTTATGGAGTTTTGAATTCCAGTATAGGTATGGTAATTCAAATTCATTTTGATTGTCGGGAATATTAAAAATACATGTATTTAAAACTGACATATGGTTTTGAAGAATTTCCTCCTTAGAAAGGGAGCTATGGCCGGTATAAGTTGGATTACCATTTGCAGAATTAAATCCTAGTTCCTCTAAAATACAATTCAAATAATAAGCCTTACAAACAAAGACAACGTTGTTACCTGAGTTCAAACCAAATTCTTTTAAAATGGAGTTGTTCAAATAAAGACTTTAATATAACAACCTTCATTTGTCAGCTCCATGGAACCATATTCACATTTTCTAATGGAATACTTTTAAAAAATACTTTGTCCTCTAAAACTCTATTTGAAATGATTTGAGGGATAGATCAATATATTTCAATAATTTAAAAGGATGTTTTAAGATTCTGTTGCATTTTCCTATTATCGAATTACAGAAAACAGGTCTCTGTGATTGTGATGGGGAAAAAAAGGATAATCGAAGGGTTAAGGAAAGAACAATTTGATGACTTCCTCTTATTTAGAATACATGTATGGTAATTGATATTTAACCCCCACCCCCTCTTCCAAACAATGAGTTTATATTTTTAGTACTGTCTTGAAAATGGACAACACTAAAATCTATCTTGTTGTCTGCGTTCGTCAATGATTTTCAGCGAGTGTTTCTTTCTTAAAATCGAAAATCTAAAAATAACCAGTACATAATAATAAGTATTGTTTTTATTTGTCCTTGTTTGTTTGCTTATTTATTTAATTTTTGGTTTGGTTTTGTTTGTTTATTTTTTAAGTTCAATGAAAGTAGAGACTGGGTGCATCGCGGGTACATAATTTTCTAATAATAATTTTAAAGGAATTTTCTAATAATAATTTTAAAGGAAGCGTTTCGTTAAAGAATTAAAGAGTTAAAGACCGCGGCTACATTTTTCAAAGGGGGAATGGGGGAAGATAAAAAAAAAATGACAACTAAAGAAAAAAAATTGAAAATAATATTTTGTGTGTGTGTGTGGACATTTCGCTAACTTTTAGGTACATTTTTTTTCAAATACTAGAGTTTGCCAGGGTTCGACCATACTGCAGCAAATACTGAAAAGGGGGACAAGCAGCATCTAAATGAAAATTTATATAAAACTACAGCAAAAGACTATTCTCAGAAAAAGTGGGTCCCCCTCTCCCGCCTGCGTAATACGTACGGGCCTGCACATATATCACAGGGAATAGTGGCTTACATGATATTCACGTGATTATCTTTTTATTTGAAAATTATGTGAAAATCATGTAAAAATAATATAAATATTTTTTCATTCGAATATAATGCGAATAAGTTTGTATGATATTTAAGGAATGTTTTCAAGTTTTGTGTGAGTTATTGGTGTGTAAATCACACAGACTTGTCACGTAGGCATATTTCATGAAGCGCCATAGCGCTTCATGAAAAATATGCCTACGTGCAAGTCTGTGTGATTTACACACCAATAATTCACACAAAACTTAAAAACATTCCTTATATTTACATTTTACATGTTTAAAGTACCAAAAATATACTCAATGTTTGAATTTCTCGCTGTCCTATATCGTCATATTTTTATTAACGTCTCTGTAGCCTCATTGTGACGTCACTTTAGCGTGAGTTTCTCCGTGTATATTTCTACGCGTGAGTATACACAAAAATGGTTTTCAGATAAATTTCACAGTTGGCTTTAGTAGAAAAACACAGCAAATGTAAATATTCACATATATATTTTTTAGAACTTTCATGTGAAGTTTTCTCTGCACGATTTTTATGCGATATGCTCTTCATGTAAAATTCATATGAAAGTTAGGTCAAAATGGCTTAAAGTTTTCACATAAATTTCACATGTCTTGTTTTTCGTCTCTTTCTTATGCAAAGAATTTACCTGAAATTCATGTGAATTTCATATAAAATTTATGTAAGCCACTTTTGCCTGTGTACCGTGTAGAGTCAACATTGGATCATGCATAAAGCAAGAAATCAAAATTTGTAAGCTGAAGTACAGAGAATGTGATTTAAATGATACATGATTCCGAGGTTCACGTTATTCGGAAATGGAAATATTTATAAATTAACTCTATTTCTGGTAGTGTTTTATGTTTGAGTAAATATGGATTACACCACCTAAAAACTGACTTTTCTGTATGTGTATTTTTTTTGTTTTTGTTTTTGGTGTTTTTGTTTTTGTTTTGTTTTGTTTTGTTTTTTCCTTTTTTAATTGAAACTTCACCTTTAAAGGTGTTTCCTAATTGACAGTTAATTTTTGATATAATTAACAATACAATTTTCATGGATTTTGTGACGGAATATATATCATTATCTTCAACGGGCAACTTCAATAAAGTACGATTATAAATTGTGCATACATTCTATTCTCTTTAGAGAAGTGGACAGGCTTTCGCCTACATTCACGTAGGCGAAAGCCTGTCCACTTCTCTAAAGAGAATACATACATTCCATCATGAGATTCTGAATTTTGAATAATGTAACATTGCCAAATTAAACAAACAAACAATGTCTAAATAAATAAATAAACAAATAAATCATTTAAATAAATAAATAAATAAATGAATAAATAAATAAATGAGAGAGAGAGAGAGAGAGAGAGAGAGAGAGAGAGAGAGAGAGAGAGAGAGAGAATTTAGTTTACGAATCACTTGAAGAGCTACCTCCCTTTCTGCAGCTTTAAGTAAGAATATAATTTACCATATATACAACCTACAATGCATGCATTCTTTCATTGATTTATGTCAAGCTTATGTTTTTTTTATAATTAGTATATTTCAGCACATTCCTACATTCCAAATATGCAATATTAAATGGAGAAATCTTTCAGTGATATATAGCATTTAGAAATATATACATTTAAAGAGAAAAACAACTGAGCTCATTATTAGAGAATTACCGTTAATTATTAAACTGCAACAAATAAAAAAACCGAAAAAAAAAACAATTACTGAAAGCAGCTAAAATTTTGGTTATTGAAGAGCGAGATCGAGCGGAAAAGCCCTGTCGTAAAGCAGGTGCCCGATGGGGATTCCTCGATTGACGTCACAATACACATATTTAGGATTTTATCACGTGACATTCTCAATCAATGGCATATTTCTTGCTATTTTACATGGGTATGATATGACACAATTAGAGACGGATTGACCGATTGAACAAACAGGAAAAGGTCAGTGTTTATGACATACATATTGTGTCCAGCGTGCCACGGACAGCTGAAGAGTAGTTCACTAGAGAGACTTGCCAAATTATCGATCTTCCGCCATGAAGACTCGACTCGTACGTTCGTAAAAACGAAACGAGGAAAAAATAAGTTATGAACCTTGTTTACATTACAACTAAACAAGACGCCTGACTGTTCAATTTTGCTTCTTGCTGAAATCTTGCGCCGAAGGGCGTTTGTATGTGAAATGTGGAGTGTTTTTGTACGCTGATAAAATTCCGTTGGCTGGAAAGAAGGAGACATTTAAATCAAGTTGCTGATGCGATTGAGATTAGCACTGGAGATTGGCTGACACTTCACCATGGCAAACCAGAACGGACCCACGGGGACCAAGTAAGTAAAACTACTAGTTGCGTGTATGTTTATCAACAGTTGTGGAAGTATATAATTAGATGGATCATAGCGCACGTGTTGCTAATGGAATCATAATAATAGCTAATTACTGGTCAGGAAGTCCTGTCCAGGGCAGCCAGGAGTCACTTTGATAAATGATTGTAAACATAGCAGAACCAGCAGGTGTTGTAAATGCTACTGCCTTCAGTATTTACTGTGTTCATCCCCCTCCCCTCCTCTTGTCATGTGGTGCATTGTTCTCAGTACCAGGTCCTATGTAAGTTGTCATATCATGTCATAGAAACCTCATTGATGAGGATAATTTGGTTTTTTAACAATAACAATAAACAGGAAGATGTAATGATGAGATCAAGATCTTTTTCCCCCCCAGAAAACCGGGGGTGGGAGGTGGGGTGGGGGTAATAACCTTGAAAACAAAGAATAGAGAGAGGTAGTTATCTAATGGATTGATTAACCACTGGTATACAACTCAAAGAACATAGCAAACCAATTGCAAAGGCTTTATCAATATATATACGTGTGGTGACTTTTTAAAAAAATTTATTTAATAGGTCTTTGAAAATTTCTATCAATATGTATACATTTTTACATTAAAGAGTGAAATTTAAAGTGTATATATTCAGGTGAATGTTTCATTGATACTTATATTTGTTGTTGTAGACATTACTTTTTCTTCCTTGTGTATGCATTTAGACTCGATACACGAAAACTGAGATGTGCAAGACATACTGACTCCAAATGATAACTACGTGCTGTACAACCACGATGACCTGTATCGTTCATTTCTAGCATCTATATTTTACAAAATTTTATGTATGGGATGATTTTAACAGTAAGGAGTGGATGAAGTCCACAGTACATGAAGTTGAGGGCTTGTAAGCTAAGGAATATTAGACATTTCAGAAATCATTCCTTGTCTCATATTCAAATTAAGCACCAATTAACATGAATTTCAAAATCTTGGCCATACGTGCAGATTCATATGTAAACATGCCAGTGACATTGAATTTGGAGGGGGTTGTTATAAGTAAATTTTCAGAGTAAAGTGGCCTAGGAATGACGTGGAAAATCCCCAGAGTTGTAGAAGAAACATTTTTTTGAAACAAAAATTCAATTTGGGGTGAAATGTTTTTTTTTCTTAAACTCCCTCCCCCCCCTCCCAGGAGAAAAAAAAATTTCTTGCGAATGAAGATTCCCCCCCCCCTCCAACCTGGAAAAAGATGATCTGTTGATTAGGGCTGTATCAATATATCGATATATCGAAACGTATCGATATTTAAGAATGTATCGTATCGAAAAAATAACTTCCAATACGTATCGGACAGGCAGATTTTCTCATAATTCTGTGAAAAAGTTGGGAATTTCAATCACCAAAGATTATATTTTCACTGTTTTGAATTAAAATTGATCAATAATGATATAATCATTAAAGAGATAGCACATCTTAGATACATATTATAGTATACATAGACAACTTTATTTTAACATGTTGTTTTTACAGACATTAAAAGTTTGAATTTGAAGTGTAATTTGTAGAGACAGGAGACAAGACCTTTGAAATGGGTTATAAAAAAAATAGGTTTTATAAAATTCATGCATTAAATGATTTATAAGACTTTTTGATAGACTTATTAAAGAATCCAATATATTGGATATCGCATTATAAAATATTGTATCGTATCGTATCGAAATTTTTTGCTCAATACACAGCCCTACTGTTGATGCATCCATAAAATATCATCACTTGCACACTGAAGATTATTTCTGTAGAAATATTGTACTTTCATACACATTGAAATGTATAAAAAAAAAATTGATTTTTCTTCTTGATTGTTAAATACGGTAAGGTTCAAATTTTTTAAAAACTATAATATGTATGGTATTACCATATATATGTGTATCTAACTAACATTTATACCCATTAATTTAAAATTTTCAATCTTAAAGAATCCCAGACCATTCGTTTTCTGTTAAACATGTTAAAAGAGCTTTCTAAAACATCATGGAATCAAACTGGCTTGAATGCATGGAATATATGTATTCAGTCAGGTGAAATCTATTTAAACAGAAAACTGTGTTTCCTGTCCATGTTCAAATAAAATAAAAAACAGAATTCAGATTTCTCAATTTTACTTGTGACCAATACTTTAGTGAAATTCACTGAAGTGAAAATTTCATGCAACTTTTTACTGCAAGATTTTGATTGTTAAGATTTTTTCTGACTTTTTCTTTTGATTATTTATTATTTTTTATTTACATACATGTTTTATTGCTATATATTACTCAAACAATATTTTAATGAATAAATATATTTAATCTTTGGTGGTAAGTCACTTTTTATTATAAAGTCTAGTAAAACAATGCATTCCAAGAGTTTCTGTGACTAAAATGCAATAAATATTGCTATATTTATAATACTTGGAAAATTATGAGTATTCAAAAACAAAAACTTTGTCAATATTAATCATGTGAAAACTGACTACAAATATTTTATCATATAAACTTGAAAACAAAGTTGTGATTTGGGTGGGATGATATTTTTCTAATCATATTTTTGTTTTTTCGGTCTGCTAACATAAGTGGAAGATTGCCTTTTAATCCAATGATGAAGATTATACTGTTCAGTATTCAGACTTCAATTTGATAAAATGGTGATATTATATGAAATTTTATCAGAGTCGTGCATGTATTGGAATTCTTGGCACCTGTGTAAGTTTTCATAAATGAAGTGAAGTAGGAGTTATTGCTATGGGGGCTGGCTAAAGTGAAGATTATGTTTTATCTATTGCATAATATGAACACCACTTGAATATTGTTTTCTATTTGTTAAAACCAATGATGAATTATATAGTGAGAAAAATAATTTCTGCTTTTCTGGAACATTTTTTGTTGCAGCATCTTAAAAGAGAGAGAGAGAGAGAGAGAAAGAGAGAGAGAGATTGGTTTTAAAGTATTTTAAATTAATGCAAATAGCTAAGGTAATTGAATCATTTGATGTTTTTTGCAATCATTGAGAAAAAAAATATGAAACTCTTGTCATTAATGCTTGCATTTTCTTGAGTTCATTTGAAAATAATGAGATTTTGGTGACACAAAATAGTCATAAGAAGACACATGACAAATCGTTGCCTGACCTCCTATTCTTCGTTCAATACCAGAGGGATATTTCCTAGAGTTGTAGGAAATTCAGAGAGGAATTCATATTTGCACAGACTTCACAATGCAATGCCTTTAAAACAGATCATATTCTGAATTTTACAGAGAAATGGGACTTGGCCTCAAACCCCAATATGGTTTTGAGAAATACATTAAGGGTAATTTAATTTGTTGATTATTGAATTGAAAGAGACATTTGAGAAGAGTTGTAGCTGATCAACAAGGAACTGTATGTGTAAGTTGAGGGTATGTTGATGGAAGAAAGGAAGCCCCCCCTCCCACTCTCCTCAATATGAAAGAGAGCAAGAGAGAAAATCTCTAAAGCAGGTTTTTTTTTTTTTTAAAAAAGAAGTAATTCAAGACACAGAGTTATAAGTGAAAGAGTTAATATCCCTCCTCCCCCCTCCCCCTTGATTAATACAAAAAGAATGGTGAAATCAAGAGCTTCTTGTTTACTGAAAAGTGAGCCGTAATGGATTGAGTGTGCTGTAATGTACAATGTAATGGGATGTTGTGTTAATTGTTCTTTTTTTACACCTGAGCTAAAAGTAAACATGATAATAGATTTTCGACATCTGATGTGTATGGATAAGTCTAAATATTCATTGCTGATTGTAAATTTACTAGAAATGTGTTATTTGCTGTGCTCTCTGGTATTACATTGCATTACATTAAGATATCGTACTACTCGTAAAAGCAAAGCATATTGTATTTGACAGTATGCCATAAAATATTATACATACTTTCATTTTGTTTATCCAAGTGGGATGAATAATTGCGTCATGAAGTGAAGTGTTTACTGAAAATTTTGTAGAAATGCAAAGTGCATCAACATTTGTTGTAGCTAATTGTTAAATAACAGGGGAACATTATATAGGTAATCTGTCAAAGCCTTGAAAAAATGTTCATGGGGGTTTTCCAAAAATGTTAAAAAAGATTGCATTTACATGTTTTGCACAAAGAATGTGTGGCTCTAAGTTATGGAGTCTTTAATGCAAACATAATTTCTCAGGAAAACTGAAAATCCCACAGAGTTGAGGGGGGTGCATTGCTGCATTGTGCTTATCAGTGGCTTTAATCAAACATGCATCAGAAAGAAATATGACAGAAGAAATTACAGCATTAGTAATTAACCTAGATCTTAATGAGGTCACCAAGTATGAGCACAGCAGAAAATTAGATTCTGCACAATAAGCATGATAAGTGCAGGAATTCTCTTAGAAGTAGTAATGTCCTCGGAGAAGCTCTCAGTGATGTGCGTATTTGTAATTTTTTTTGTTTTGAGCTAACCCTTCCTTTTCTTAGTCGACATCCGAAGTACTTCCTTCTTTCCTTGTTTCGCCCACTCATTCATTCGATGTCACACACTGCAGGTTGATCTGAGTATTCAATTTATATTGTTTTACTGCCATCATGCAATGATCACTCCTGCTAAATGTGAATTATCAACTCCTGGTGTTTGAACAAAATTTGTTAAGCACAAGTCGATACTCATTTGATACACTTCCAGCTTTGAAAAAACGGTGTAGCTGCAATCCAGTTGACATTTAACTAGAGCAGTTATATATGTAACATGCAGATGTAGAGAGATCGCGGTTTTGATACCAGTGATAGGGGCTTTCTCATCCTTCATTCACTGTTAAGGAGTCCAATTTATGTCCAAGATTTTTCATTGTAGCATTAATGTAATATGGCCAAATAAAGAAATAAATTGAGCTGATTCATATGTCAGAATTCCTAGACCATGCAGCTACTCTTTTTATGTTAAATACATTCCCCCCACCTTTGTTTTTAATACTTATCATGTACATAAAATTGAAATT